GATCGTTGAGTTCGTGCGCGATCGAGTATCGGAGACTTATGAGATAGTTGTCAGCGTCCACAAACCTTGTCTCTCCTTCTATGCTATCTTTCTTTTCTGTATTGACACTTAGACAAAGACTCTTGTAGACGCTGTTTTTATTAGACTAGCTATCTAGATGCTCATGACTTTGTGACACCCCGATGTTTGGGGCTATATTTCTGCATTATATTTGAGTCAAACTCCTATTTTTTTTTAATGAAAATCCTGTTATGAAAAAGGCTTTTGATTTATCTTTTTATGAAATGTTGAAGAATTTTTTTTTTGAAAATCGGCTTGCCTAGTATCACTGATAGGCGCCATTACGACAGGTTAGAGTTTTGGGTCGTGATAATTTCGGAAGAATTTATGCCCGGAACCCAAATGATATCGGGGAAAAACACACCCGAAGCCTTGCATCCCTCACATTAAAGGGTTGATTCCGAAAGAACTTATGCCGGAATCCAAATGCTATCGGGAAAAAATACACCCGAAGCCTTACATAATTCAATGCAAAGAGAGAAACTTCTGCAATACTTAAAAAAAAAGTATGCAAAGAGAAAAACTTACACGATACTTAAATGAAAAGATGCTTGTGTTAATAGTAAACGTGCCAAACAACACAAGTACAAAGATATGGAAAAGAAAAGAAAGAAGAAAGTTAAACTACTACACCACCGGAATCCGTGGGAAGGGAAGCATTTGCACCCCAAGGAGAAGTAGACGGGTCCATCACCGACTCAGTATTTTGGCCCTCACCATCTTGGACTTCAACATCATCCCCATCCGGTTCTTTTTCGGTTCTCGAGAACTCAGAACCAGAATCAGAAGAGTCAGTAGCATCAGGTTGGACCTGGAAACCCCTTCAGGCAATTGACTCCAGCTCACGAGCCTTAGCGATTTCGACATCAAAGTCAATGATGCCTGTTTTGGCCTCTTCCAAAGTTTTTCTCCTCATGTTATACATGGAATACTTCTTTTCAATGATGAAGGAAGCCGCTCGGCGCTAAAGTTCTTCCTTAAGATGGTCAACCTCGATCGAAAGGTGATCTCACTCAGATATAGCGGCCTAGAGGCTGACATCAAAGTCATGAATAGTAGAGTTAAAAACTCTATTGTGCTCCATGACTCTCTTATGCCTCTCTTTTAACCGGGCAAACTTCTTTTAGGCAGCAGCAACTTCTTCAGTTTTGGAGTTCAAGGCCGCCTCCAAGTTATTCAATCTCTTAGTAGAGGCAGCCCCGCGATCGGATGCAGCAAGAACAATGTTGTGGACCTCAACCCTTTTTGACATAGTTTATTGAAATTGTACCCTTAACAGGGCAGCCTCTTGGACAAGGGTCATTACCTCTTGCTCGCTTTGCTGCAACCGAGCCTCCAACTCAATGGCTTCAGCAGCTCGTGCTTCCAGTTTTGAGAGACGAGCAGCAATTTGATCTCGCTCGGATAACAATTGATCTCACTCGGAGGTAAGTTCCTCCTTATCAATAATCAACCTCTGAAGGCCCTCGTAATCAAGGAAGTTAGCCTGCAAAATAGAAGTACAAATTAAAAACCTTTCCATAACTACGATAGAAGAAAAAATAAAGAAAACAAAGATTGTATCGCCGTTGCGTTGTACATGGCATTGTTCAACAAACACTCTCCCCAGAGAGATTGTATTTTATTCCTATCTTTTTCTGAAGCCATAGGCTTCAGATAATTAGCAAGTTCCATCGGTCGGGATAACAGATGACATCCGGTAGAAATCGAGAGGGAGACGCTCCTCCTCCTTTGGGGATCCTCGGAGGGGGCAGAATAATTTTGCCCCAAATTCTCATGAACTGGAGACTGGGGAAGAGGGATATCCTCCTCTTGAAAAACTGCGGTCGGTGGAGATGATGTAGCAGTTGCTGGTGGCAAAGGCAAAGTTAGTGAAGTAGGAGATGAAGCTGATGGCATTGTAGGTTGAGAAACAGCTGCGGCAATAACAATGCTAGTTGTTGGTTACTCATCAACCGAAGATGGGAGAGACCCGGTACCCAGCCTCACGATACCGGGAACAACGACTAGTACTTGGAAGCAAAAATTGGCATCTTCTACTATATATACTCCCTCCAAAGTGCCGATGCATCGTCCTCAGTTCGACCTACCATGATTTTTGGCCTTCCGCCCGTATTTAAGGGCCAGTTCTTTCTATGTGCAGGTCTCGGGCGTAGTGACATCCATGATTTTCTGGACCCATTAGTCCAACCCTTCAACCCTTAGTGGTGTCCACCAAGTTGCTAAAATAGTGAAAGAAAAAGGATCAATAACAACATGGACAATCTTTAAGTAGAACAAAAGACAAACGATGAACTTACGAGTACAGTTCCATAATTCAGGAAAAGATGAAGTCGTAGCCGAGATGATGTCCCTGGTAGCAACTACAATGAATCGCTCCATCCACCCCCGGTCGTTGTCATCATCCATGCTGGTGAGCAAAGCATGGTGACCACGTTTGCTGAAGTTTATCATTACCCCACGAAAACTCTTGAGGGAATAATGGTTCATCAGCCGAGCTAGGAAGAGTTCTTCCCCCATCTCCTGGCATAGCCGCCGAAGACAAGAAACAGTCCGCCACACAGAAAGGCTCACCTGTGCCAAACAGACTTGGTAACGAAGGCAAAACTCCAAGATAATGGAGTCAAGTGCCCCCGCTCAATGAGGACGGGCCCAAAGTAAAGGGATACGTATAAACTTACATAAAACCCTTCTTAAAGAAGGTTACCCGCTCCACCAGGTCAGGAGCGATGATGTTTAAATCTTGACAACCACAATCTTCTTTCACAACAGGGATACTAGAAGGACGGATGAAAGAGGGATACACGCCAACAACCCATGTTTAAGGGTTAGCAGAAGGGTACTTCTCTTCGAAGTCCTTAGTTGTAATAAGCCTTCTGAGAATAATGGTGCTCACCGTGGGAGGAGCAGCATCTTCAACACTTCCTTTGTTCTTTGAGGAACTGTGATTTTTGGTAGAAGAAGCCATATTTAGTAGAAAGAAGTAAGAAGTCTCTTTGAAGGAGAAGAATGGTAAAGAAAGTTAGAAGGAGTTGAGTAAAGAAGTCGAAAAAGTTCTAAGAGGTTGTGAAGTGTAAAAGAAGTAGATTGAAGTGTATAAGTAAAAGAATAGGCGGCTAAAATTGTAGTTATACTTACCCTGAGATTCAGCGAAATTATTGTTGAATCGTGGCATGACATGTGTTCGGAGTATTAAATACGGAGAGATGTGCGACTAATCAAGCGTCAGAAATTTTTCAGAGGGGATTAGAGAATTTCTCGCCAAGAAAGGTATCTTTACCAACTTTCCGGTGACACAAGGTTATGCCACCGGAAAGCAGGGGGACTATCTGTATAGGATAAAATATGTTCATATTAAATGCTCACATGATAAAGCGACACGTGAAGCCGAAGACAAAAGACAATCAGGTCCGAAGACAACAATCTCGTTTGTCCCCGAAGGGAACGATGTTCATAAAGGCGAAATAAATGCCTACCACTCGGTAGTATTTAATGGAGAATATTCTATAGCATTAAGTATATAATCCGTTATAGAGAATATGACATTCACTGCCTACCGTTACACACCCTCATAATTGTTATTTAAGAAGGCATTGATCCTAGGACCTTGTTCCCTAGGTGCAATTATAAATAGTGAGGTCAACCACCATTGAAAAGGATACGAATTTTCTCACAAGCACATACTATACTCTGTTCAAAAGCTTAATAATATTTTTATCTTCTTGCTTACTAATATTGTTACCACTGCTTCCGGAAGCTCTGCACCCGGAACCAGGATTTCTGCTGTCTTATCTAGACTTCAACGCTAAGTCTTACATTCTTGTTTATTTTGTTTATCATTTTAGGATCAAATCGATTCACTTGTCTATAAACCACATATAAATTCAATTGTACTATTTTATGAGTATACAGTAAGACTGTACCAAAAGTTTAAAATGAGACTTTTTCATAATATCAGAGGGAATGAGTAGGATTTGACCAAAAGTTTTGAAAAAGAATTTTTCATAACATCAGGGGAGGATAAGATTAGACCTAGAGTTTAACGAAACATAAAGTTGCTCAATTTTAAACAAAATCGACCAATTTTCCTTTTCTTTTTAAATATTCTCCATATGAAAATTAGATGAATAACTACTGCTCACTCTGTTCCAGTTTATGTGAATCTATTTTCTTTTTGATCCGTTCTAAAAAAAATGAACCATTTCTAAATTTGGTAATAATTTAGCTTAAACTTACAATTGTACCTTTAATGAGAAGCTTTTATAACCACACAAATACTCTGGACCCCTTTTTGGCTTGTATAGGACCACAAATTCCAAAACTCTTTTATTTTTTCTTAAACTCCGTGCCCAGTCAAACATGTTCACATAAATTGGAACAGAGGGAGTATTATTAATTGGGAATCCCTCTCTTCCAGTTTATGTGAACCTATTTCCTTTTTGGTCCGTTCAAAAAAGAATGACCCATTTCTAAATTTGGAACACAATTTTGCTTAAACTTACAATTCTACCCTTAATGAGAAGCGTTTATAACCACACAAATACTCTAGGCCCCTTTTTGACTTGTTTAGGACCACAAATTCCAAAAATCTTTATTTTTTTTAAATTTCGTATAAATTGGAACGGAGAGAATATCTTTTAAGCGCTTGGATTGGGGTTTTGATAAAGTATAAGAGCAGCACTAAAAGAAATCACACTTTAGTGACGACTCTTTTTAATTGCGACAAAAGTTATAGTATATATTTTGTTGTGGCGATCTGACAAGATAAACGTTTAGCCTGTAACAGGTACAGCTAAAGATTGAATTTGTCATTCCCACTAAGAACAAAATTTGAATGCAAAGTTTTATGGCAACTTAAAAATTTGACTCCAAAGTTGTATGAGCTCTTCTCTTTGCTCGTTTCTCTCCATAAATTC